CACATTTAATTCAGTGTGAGAAGCAAACACTCTCCAAATAACTTTTTTGCTAGTTCACACTGCTGAGTTTTGAGAGCTGTAGGAGTGAAGAATAAAGGAGTGGCGTAATACTGCCTATCAACCAGAATAATTACTTTAAAAATCTGATTTTCTCCCCTTAGCATGCTGTTTACTCTGACGCTTTTTGCAACATCCATAATTTAGTTGAATGAACCCATTTCTTATTATTGAAAACATCTGTTATAAACCAGAGAATAGGAAGTGTTTGTGACCTTGACCCTTAAAATAACCCTAAAGGAGAGCTGAAGTTTAAGACCCTTTGGGACTTCTGTAAATTTTATGATTTCTTGTACCATGACTGCAAATGAGAAGCAGCTCTGGCTAAGTCATTTAATGTAGTATTTTGACATACCTGTCTCTTTCAGAATAAAATGCTTTATGACACACTGATATTGCTCATATTTGCCTTTACCTCAAGGTTAAACTGATTGTCATCATGGAAGTTGCTTTCCAGAAGCTGAAGGGTTGCTCCCTGCTTCGCTACAGACAGTTAAGCAAAAGTTGACGACTCAATGTTTCCTTAGATATTTTGTTGGGTATGGATGGCTAAAGTAAACTAAATACTGGAATTGGGACTGTGTGATTTTTTGTGTGTGTGTGTGTGATAGAATAGGGAATACTTTTGGTGATGGAAGAGATTGGGTGTTCTAAATATTTATTAGTTTGATCTTCAGGTAACGGGTGAAATGAACATATCGGGAAGATGGGCTCTTTCTGGTTGCACACCCTAACCTGGTACCAGTAACTGGACAGATCTACGAGGGAGTGTGAGTCCTGCGCAGATGATGTGATTTTGTGTGACACCTCTGGTATTATGGGTTAGAATCAGAAGCCATAAAGGTGTATTGGCTTTCCTTATCAATGAATACAAATGGACAAAAGATTATCATGCAAAAGAACTTGTTTTCTGAAGTCTAGCAACAAATCTGGTTTCTTGCCTTTCTTTTAGTCTAAACTATTTGAATTAACTGTAAATGTAGAAAATTATAGGTTTGTATCATGTCTATATAGGCACCTAGTCATTGTTTTGTTTACAAAGAAATCCTTAGTAACAAAACAAAAAGAACACTCTTAACATCCACTGCATGAGAGCCCTGCCTAAGGTTTGCTGCTCCTGCTCAGCTAGTTGAGATGCTGGGTGCAATCCTTAAACTCATTAATGCAGAAGTATTTTGGAGCTAGAAGACTGGCAGTGTTGCAGCTTACTACTGGCAGCTTCTCTACCATGCAGTAAAAGTTTATTGGATGTATTTCGTGCATTTGATTGATAGATCTTTCCTTCTGTTATTCCCCCATGCAGGAAATGGCTAGTTTTCACATCTTATTTTGGTGCTGGCTCCACCTTGTAACTTACACCGAGATATCTTGCACTTTAAAAAAAACAAAACAAACCAAAAACCAACCACCACAAACAGCAAAAAAAACCCCAAACCTGAAGGCAGTGGAGAAAAGGAGACAATGTTGAGAAGAAAAAGAAAACATTTTCTGACAAATGGAGAAAGTTTGTTTCCACTAAATCTGTGTACTGGTTGAAGTTTCTGTAAGAAGTTAAGAAGTTGCCTTTTATTAACTAGGAAAGGGTAACAAGGATTTGGTGGATTTTGGTCAGTCGTGCATTTTGGCATAGATTTTGCTAGCATAGTGGAAGTCTCATATACATTATTTTTTCCTTCACTTTTATTGAAAGTGTTTTGCATGCATCTCTAGAAAAATAGAAACTTCTGGAAATGATGATTCATGTCTTGCCAACTCTTGTTCTGTTTTTTCCTTGTTGAGACGAGTGGGAGAGGTCATTGTTCTGTCAACAGAATTACATTGGATTTTAATTGGAATAAAGCCTCCCCTTCAAAACTTGCCAGGGTCCTGCCTGTATTGTGTGTTTATTTTTGTTTTGTTTTATTTGTTAAGCAGTTAGGGCTTAACTAGATTTATTCAGACACAGCTCTCCTGTAACTGTTGCCAGCTTTTATTGTGCCTGGGGGGAGATGAAGGTGATCTGCAAGTTATTTGTGTTAATGAGAGTCCTGGTTAACAGAACCCAAATGCTTCCCGCTGATACACAGAAGAAATGTAATACAGCTCATCCAGTATGTCATTAGGTATGTATTTGTACTAGGTAAGCACTGGATCACAAATCAGAAAGCAGTATTTCAGAAATCTGTCGATAATTTAAGTCAAATTTATTATATAAGCGAAGTTGACCCCACGTTACTAAAGCAACTGCTAATAATTTGCTGTAGGATAAGTAGCACAACTTCAGTTACAGTTAGTTTGTTTCCGACGTTTGAGATCAGCAGTTTCAACACTTTTGTCAAGTACTCCGGTCTGTAGTGAAAAAGTGGTTAAGAGGAGGGGACAGGAGGCGTTCTCAGGTTCCACACAACTGTGCAGGCAAGACTTTTTTGAAAGTTAATTGATTTGTTGTCTGAGTAAAAGTTAGTTCTGAACACGAGGTCCTGGATTCATGACTGTGCAGCAGCACTGAACTGTTTCACTAGTAAGCTTGTTGGGAAATGCTCCCACTGAATGACCGTCTTTGACAACCTGTTATGCTGTCTTTGACGTTGGAGAATTTATCAATAGGTTGCAAAAGTGGATACTTTTTCAGGGGGGAAAAAACTCCCCACCTTGCCCAGTGTGCTCTTAAACTTGCAGTTTTAGGACACACTGTATATCAGTGGTACTTACCATACAGTCATTAAAGGACTGGCAAGACTTTTATTATATAGAGTATTTTGTAAAAATGTTTTTACGTTTCTCTGTAACTGCCTTTTGTGGATGACACTGAGCTAGTGCAGCCTGACTAAAGTATTTGCAGCTATCTAGCAAAAAACAAAAATACACTGGCTGAGAATTTTTAACTTGCTGAATTTTAATATATATCATAGTCTGTATTGCTGTTCTGTAACTCTACACTTTCTTTTTTAATGCATTTTATAGATTGCTCACAGTGTATAATATTGAGTGTAATCATTATTTTTGCTCTGCTCCTTGAAGATGGAGTTGCTCCCACTTCTGATACATGCAAACAACTCAGCTTTACTTGTGTGCATTGCCTTGGATGCAATCTTGCACAAAGCACTTAGAATCTGTGTAGCTGCCTCATATTTGCAGGCAAACTGGGATTTTCATTTATTTTCTGTACTGGTTCTTTATAGACCAGTGGTTCTCGAAACATCTCCAGCTGTGAGCTCCGCTTCTGTCAGGACTGTGGCCTCAGTAGAGGTGTGCGGGTATCTTCTGGGGTGGTGGCTCCTGTTGTAATTGTTGCAGCTGTCGGATTGTGGCTAGTCCAGAATCCCAAGTGTGTGAAGCTTGCTTGAGTGCACAAACACACTAATAACATCCAGGAGCCCAACATGGGTGATACTTTGTTGATAACTAGTGAGGCCTGAGTAGGGTCTGCATAGGACATCTTCCTGAGTCCTGTAACTCATCCCTGACAAAAAGCATCCCACTGTTTTCTCGGACCTGTGTTGGGGAGGCAGATGATCTCTTGTCTGCTGCCTCCTTCCTCCTCCTCTCTGACTTTGAGCTTGTTTGTCTCCAAGCTGGACTTCTGGCTCAGTCTTCCACAGCAGAAGTTACAGCTGAATTTCTCTGGCAAATCACTGCAATTCTAAATCAACATTTAGGGATTGTTTGACTGTAGTGCTTCCTAATCCCAGTGAGTCATGCTGACGACCCGTGTATCTAACGCATCATCATCTGCAAATATTTATGGACTGCTCTGTTTGCTTCTCTGTCATGACATAATAATGAGCAACCAATACTGATTTATGTATGTGTTTGCATAATGAGTAAATTCTGCCTTTGTATGTAATTTTTTGAGAAGACGTGTTTAGGAGTACCAAGAGGTGGTACATTTCGTCTTTACAAGGAAGAGGTGCCTTTGGACTGTGAGAGAACTGGATGTTAAGCAAACCAAAATCCACTGGGCTGGGATGGATGTTCTCCAGGGGCATCCAGTGGCAGAGCTGGGCCCCACTGAAAATCCAATAGTTTAGCTAGTAGGAACTGAGACTAATGCTGTAATTAATCAGGTGTTGAGACTGTGGGTTTGGGAAAGCCCTTGAGGGAGGATTTGCACTTAAAAAGGAAGAGATTGTTTCCCCTCAAACCTGAATCTGGTTTGCCTGAGGATGGCATCTATCAAAGACATGCAGTTTGGACTGTGAGGGCAGTTTGGAGACTTAGTGTGACTTGGCACTTGCTGATCAAAAAGAAAACAAAAGGAAAACTTTGAAGCCAAATCATAGCTTTATGTCCATGTCTGTAGCTTTAACGTATTCTAGTGATTTACTTCCCATATCTAACTCTGTGGTCATAGATCAGTGAGCAACTTCTAGTGCCAGTGTTGGAGTAGGTGAAGGAAAGAGGAAGGAGGGGAAGAAAACCACACACACACACACACACATACACCCCTCACCCCAAACCCTCATCAAACAAGTGATGCAAATCCCTCACCAGCTCCTCCATGCTAACCTGCACCATAGCTGTCTACGCTAGCTTTGCCAAAACTGTTACAGGTGGGCTTTTATAAAAGAGCAGTGAGAATTATTGTTTTTAGGGAAGTGTAACATTTCCTTATAGTTGTATTATATGCCTTAGTCCTTCCCTCACTGGATGTTTGCTCCTTTATGCATTGTACCTGCTTTGTGTGACCTATTTTTAAATTGATGCTATGTGCTGTGTACTGATACACACCGTGGTAAGCTTTGGATGCCCTTGAACAGCTGTGGAAACAAGAACTTTCGGTAATTCTGAAATCGTTTCTTGTTCTTCAACAACAAATTCCTTTTAAGGTACTTTAAATATGAAATAAACACTTGAGAGGTACTCTGTGTTGTATGACATATACCTCTGGCAGTGTTTTGGGGTCGTTTGTGTCATGCTCAGGTTTTCTGCATAACATCAGCTGATTAGATTGAGCAAGTGGGATGACATATGAAATCTTGGTTTTGATAGATTTCCAGAAGAAGCAGCCAGACGATGACTCTACTCCCAGCACAAGCAACAGCCAGTCAGATTTGTTCTCTGGAGAAACGAACAGTGACAACAGCAATACCTCTCTAACCACGCAGGCCGCTAACTCCAACCAGCAACTTTTGACAGAACTGAATGTAACTTCACCAAGCAAAGAGGAACGTAAGTGCACAAGTGCTAAGTGACGGCAAAGGAGGCAGAAACATTTTGGTTTGTTCTCAGACTTACGTTTTACTGCCTCCCTTTGGAAGTAAATGGCTGGTCTTTTGGGACAAAGGGAAAGGGTAGAAGTTACTTGCAAAATAGACATTGATGGCTTTAACTGAAGAACAAGTTAACAGGGGTTGTGGGTGTTTCTAACTAACTTTACAGCTGTTTGAACTGCAGTATACAATTTAATTACAATTTTGAGGCACTCTGATTTTGAGAAACTTTTTCTCGTGTTGCTGGTCAATTAATATATATATTCTAGGATAAACACCAATATCTTGTAAATGTTTACTTTAAAACCGTTTGTTTTTTAAGAATTGTAATTGCACGTAGCACTGACTGTAATCCATGTTTGTCTAGACTGCTGCGATCTTACTTGCATAAAACTTAAGTTTCGTGTGGTAATCTATCGCTTCTTTCATGACCCATCTTTATTCTTTATTGAACTCTGTAAGGCAAAAATTCTCCCTGAAGGTAAGCAAAGATGTTAAAGATTAGCTAACACAGTGAGATAAAGTCATCTTTTAAGTTGTTATAAAGCTCTATGTATTCTGTGTCTGATACATGGAGCTCTAAAATCTGCATTCTACAGCTTAAGCTCAACTGCGTATTTTGTAGTTTCATTTTCCTCCAACTGTAGCTTTATTTTGGAAGATGCTTTACATAGAGAGTCCTTCTTGAGCTGAGTTTGTGTCTTTGCTGGTCAACAGACCTACACATTGCAAGAAAAACATGCTCACTTATGTAGTAGAGAATCTGCTAGAGCTGCTCTGGTTCTTGAACATTTAGGCAACTGCTGGAAATAACAATGCTGACAAAGCACTAAGGCTAAAAAATCTTTGGTATGTTACACTTGTTTTCAGTTCTGTTTGCATAGGATGGTTTTGCTGAATTGTTGAAGTATTTATTCTGTTTACAGGTATGTAGAATTTGCATCTATATTCTTTTTAGTTCTGCAGATTGGTTGTGGATGAAGCACAAAGTGTCATTTTGGGATTGTGGTAGTTTATTAGACTAACTAAAAATTTTTAAAATGAACTATTGTTTTCTACCTGTATGTGAGAATATTGTCAGAAATACAGCAGGTTTCAAATGTGAATGTTCGGATAGCAGTTCTTGTAATAAGAGTAAACGTGCTGTGTAACGCTTGTCTCTCCTTCACATACACAGTTGCTGCTGACCACCCATCATCTCTTCCTTCTGTCCAGCGCTTCTTCAGGGAAAACTTGTAGTCTGCTGTAAAAAAAGGCCTTAAAACAACCTTCCTAGAGAATTCAGCAAAAGATTACGCTTCAGCAACACATTTGGGCCTTCACAGGGCAGGGGGCTTCAGCACCTCTGCTGGCTTATTAGCCAGGATCTACTATTTGGTATTACAGGGTGCTCCTCCAGCACTTACTGTATCAGGTTTTCTGAAAATTTATTCAGTTAGGAGTTAAACTGTTTTACAGCAAAGTGTTTCTGTTGTGGCTGAGAAGGTCTTGGGGGTAAGTGAAATGGTGATTACAGGGATGGGAAAGAAGGAAGGAAATTAAATAGCGTCCCTTCATCCTGAATTGCTGTAAGCTTGTGAACATATACTGAAGGTGATGGATATTAGGCAGCACAGCCTGCAGAGCGTTTGAAAATATTACATATAAAAAAAACCTTTGACTTCCTACTGGGGTGATTTTAAGTGAAATACAGTGGAGAGATTTATTTACAGCTTGAACTCTCTCTGTCTTCTCTCACATAACCACTATCTCTTTAGTGAAGCTTAATATCATTTATCAGAAATAATTATGCACAGATGGAGCTTTTCTGATGGATAATAGCTTCAGCATGGAAGATTCTTTCCTGTAATGAAGAATGCCCACACTTTAAGTGTCTTTTTGATTTTAATTTGAGGGTGTCTTTTTCTGTGCAATATTTATCTATTTTGCAGCGAGTTCTGTAAAGCATGCACTGCTCTCATTACAGCTGAGTTCTTCAGAGACTGTTATTTTGCAGTGCTGTGTGATGATGTACAGCTATGTGCTGTTCTGAACAGAATTGCACTAATTCACCAGAAATCAATGTATGGGATCTTTATGGTAATCCCTGTCAAAGTGTGGAAAGATTGGAGTACTTGGGAAGGATTCTCGTGGTGCATTCCACTCCCCTCCTTCCCTTTCAAGCTTTTGAGAAGATGCTCACATCAAGACATTTGCCATAGTTCTGGAGTCCATAGGGTAAATAGATTGGACAGAATTGCAGCAGGTCATTGAGGTAATTAACAAATTCCATTCATATTACAACAACTGAAGGGAACCATAGAAGTCTCATGTGGTAAGATTCATATTCTGTGTCAAAGAAAGTGAAGGGTTTTTTGTACTTGTTTTTAAGTAGCCATTTCCTTTTTTAATACAGAATGAATGATGTAGGAGAAAAGTTCCTTGGACTGGATTTTGCAGGAATTCAGTTTGACAATATGCAAGTATTTCTACCTTTTTTTGTTACTGTTTTAATTTTCTGTGAGAGTTGCTTTTGCATTCCCGAGTGTCTTGTATACACGACCAAGTTGCAGTGGCTTTCCATCTCCTGCCACCCTCAGTTCTGAACAGTCACCTACCCCAGTGGCTGCTTTGCTCATTAGCATCTCTCCTTCTAGGAGATGAAAGGTACTTCTCAGTCTTACAGTTACAGCCAACAAAAATGTGTTAAAGATTAGTGCCCAGAGACAGTGACGCAAGCTTCAGGACTTTTTTTTTTTTTCCTTTCTTCACGTGTGTTTTATTTTTATGAAGTATTATGTACCATCAGTTTCAAAAAAATGCTATTACAATTTGCAGGGAGGATAAATATTCTAAGAATTATACCACCACCACCCACCATACACTTCTTGAGTTGCCTTTTTCTATCCAGAACCTTCAGGTCTCACCAGTTGCAGTATGTTTTCTTAAACAAACTTTTGCAGACAAGGAGTATATTGATATTGATATAGCTTTACTAAGTCTAGATTTGTATAGATTTAAATGATTCGTTTCCCAACAGATGGTTAAATCAGTCTAACTTTTGTTCTTCTACTGTTTAATGCGTAGATCAGTTTCTCTGTTCAAGTTATTCTGTAGTTTTTATATATTCTTTTTTTTCCTTTCCATCTCTTCTCTTTATTTTGGAGGTCCTAATGGTAGTTGTTTCAGTGTCAGTCACCATATGAGCCAGTCGCTCTGTCAAAGATTTCCTTTTCTTATTGTGTGGGCAGGGTTTTTGTTTACTTTTAACAGATGGGAAAAATGGGATTTGACAATGGCTCTCGCTTCTCTCTTCCCCCCCTACCTCCAGCCACTAGCACTCTAAAAAAAATGAGCTCATTAAGGAAAGTTCTGTGTATTTTGGTAAAGAAAAGGTCACACTGCACATGGAATAATTTTGCTTAGTTTTGTGCCTTTGTTGCTTTCTTTGGGGCTGTCATATTATTTTTCTGTCACTGTATGAGTAGACCTAAAGCTGACACTGTGCAGGTTACTAAAACTAACTGTTGTTATGTGACAGGAGAAGTGTCAATGTGAACAACTCTGACTCTGGCAGCTGGATCAGGTTTGATATTTCAGTAGTTCTTAGCTGCAGTTGACACAATTTTATTTTAATTACATGCTTAACTCTTCCTGGCCGCCTTGAATTAGCAAGAACCACAATTGGAAAAGGGCAAGAGGAATATCTGATGTTTCTGTAACAGTTAAATGCTCTACATTTCTGCATTGAAGACTTTATAAGATGATACACAAAGATCTGAGCAATCTTTATTGCTGTAAATGTCAAGAAATACACTGGAGATTTCAGCTCAGAAAGAAGGTGATGATCACTGACCACACCTTACCTCTGTGTGTGCTGAATTTTAGATGCCTACATATGAATTTTCAGGACTGAATGCCTGCAGATTTTGCCTAGTTGTTGTATACCCTCCAGAGTTTGAACTGTTGCATGTCAAGCTAAGTGTTTAAAACATCATTAGTTTATCTCAAATGCTTTAATTTGCAAGGCAAGTTTGAAGAATGCTTTAAAACACTGTTTAGTTTATTAAGCATTTGCATGTGCTGCAAGCACTGAAATACCCCCGATTATGAAGCAATTTTGGTGAAGTTACTTCACGTACATAAAATGTACTCCATCTGAGACAGAGATGCACCAGGCTTCTGTAAAAGATCTGTGGCAGAAAGGTGAGAGATTGTTTTTTCTGCTGCACCTATTGGATGTTTGTACTCTGAATTTCTTGGCTTGTTGAAGCATGACTGTGTAAAAAAGCCACATAGGCTATAGTACTAGAAAAGTAATGATATTTTTTCTGTCTTTGGAATGAAAAAAAAAATCTTATGTCAGTTTTTTCAACATAACCTTATGAAAAAATGAATAAATAAGTGCATCCTTTCTTTTCTTTCTTGCTTTTTTTCGTTGAATGGCCTTCTCGCTGACACTATGCAAAAGGTTTCTACCAATCTGTAACGACTTCACAGTTTCTGCGTTGTGCCTGGGTTTGTCAGCAGAGTCAGAGATGACAGCTTTCCTATGTATGCTCTGAAAACACTTTGTATTTTGAATTATTATTATGATATCCTTAATTGCATTTTGTGCCTTTTAAATAAGGACAGTGATTTTTTTTTTTTTAAATGACAGTTGCTCTTGGTTGCTATCCATTGTATGATTTTCTAAGTAGCCTGGCTTTGAGAATTCAGTTGCTGGTTGCAGTAAGACTCAGTTTTGTACATACTGTCTTTTTTTTTTTTTTTCCTGATTCTGGCTGTGGAGAACTTTGTTTTCTGGCTCATCTGTGACTGAAAGTTACGCGTATGCTCACTTCTGTAAAGTCTTAAATGTGTAAACAGACCAAGCTAGCTGCCTGTTTTTGTCTTGCTTGTCGTAGGTGGTTGTAGGAAATAATTTGCTTCGTTGCTAACCTGATTTATTCTGATACCAATTTGTAGGTTTTCTTTGAT